ACTTTATTTAGGTTTACTAAAGTTCTGCATTCTTCTATAAAATTCATTTTTTAAAATATGGGTTTCTGACGGGTCTTACATTTGGTGACTGGTTAGCAGTGTGCTGGCCATCTTTGGTTTATAACGGATGTCCTAACCATGAACTATCAAAGGGGCTAAAATCAACTTTCTTTAGAATTCCTGTATTTTTCTTTTATTCAGTCTTTTATCTATATCACTGCACATGAATTAGAACCGCACATCACAAAATTGCACAGGGATTACAAATATTACATCCAGTCTGCATAAAATCGAATTCCACTACTGACCAGATCACAAAATGGCTGCACTCTCTAATCTAAAACTAATTTGCATATTGTACACATGTAGGACGTTTTTAACTTGAAGTCACAATAAATGCATGCAAGTTTGCTTTTTTTAAACAAATTTTATCATTTGTTCATGCTACCTAGACTCAAGAGAGCTTTTTTGAGCATTTGCAATACCTCACCTCTTGTTAATTATTCTAGTGCATGCATATGTTGTATACAGGTAAGTAAACATGCATTTTTTTCACATTCTAAAACTATGGCAGTTTAGGCCATATTGTGCTGCCTGCATTTTATCTGCAATGCAGTGTGTCTCTAACGTTTTCAATCCCGTATTAATAGGTGGCATTTACACATAACACCTATATAGCAGCAAAGCTAATACAGCTTGTGATTAAAAATGTTTAAAAATAGCTAATAAATCAGATTATCTTGAGGTATTATTTCTTGCAAGTCAAAATGGAGAGCAAAAAAATCAACCCTAATTTTTAGTTTATGTATACACTGAAAATAGCAACAATAAAAATAAGCATTTGTAGCAGACATATTCCATCTTCACTATTATTTTGCTACCTTTGGTAAAGTACTGGGGCAGATCTTGAAGTTAAAAACCCATGTTTAGAAATAAGTGCACGCTTCACCCACTATATAGCAGCAGACTGTGTTTGCCCCTACGCAAAACATTCTCGTATCTAATTTTAACTTTACATATAAAAATAACTTGGAGAAAATACAAAAAAACATTTTATTTTAACATGAAAATATCACAAAAATTAGTAAGCCTGAGATGTAGGGTTTTGGTGAAAAACAAGAGGCTTGTAGTGTTTTGGCTGCTGATAAAGATGCATGTATTGATAGCTGGGGTGAAAAGCAGAAGAATGCACTTATTTCTTCTGCATGTCAGTATCTTCAGACACAGTAAGCCACATGCACCCTTTCTCTCCTTGTTCAACAGAGGCCAGTTTGCCATTCTTAGTTCCAGCGGAAGTGGATCTGACGCGGGCGATCAGCACCTTCCTTCACCAATGGCTTATGGAACTCGCGTCCTGCACGAGAGTGGATATTTGCCCAACAAAACTCACAGTAATACTGCAGGCAAGTGACATTGGCACAGAAAAAGGGGGCAAATTTTCCACCACAGCGTGCACCCTGGCATTCATCACACATCTGGTCATCCAGCACATATGGCTTTACCTCCACCTAGAAAACAGAGAAGGAAAATGTTTCCTTAGTGTATGCTTCAGAACTCAAACTCAATAATGATTGAAAATGTTTATGCAGTGTTTAGAGGAAAGGACCACCATTAAAACTTACAAAGTAGGAAGCTTTCCAGGGCTTTAGTTTTTACCATACAGTAGGGGAAAAAACTTGTTTTTGTGCTAGGTATAGTTTTACATATGTTTCCTGTTTATAATTGGCTGTGCAGTTAAATAATGAGCCCTTAATTCAGTTATTTTATTGTCATATCCTTTCTCCAGATGACTACAAATGTTATTTACTGTTATCTTTTAAGAACCAGAACATACTTTTAAAGACTATAAAAATCTCATTTGCAGGACACTCCACCCTCACCTCTCTTGAAGAACATGTTTTTCTCACACCTATGTGTTGGTATTTTCAGAGGTGCAGTGACTGTGAGTGGAAAATGGAAGGGATATTCAATGGTCACAGAAGGCAAATAGTTTTCACACCTTTCCCTCATTCGAATTCCACGTGAGAGAGATGGTGAAAGTGTTAACAATGACTGAACGAGGTAGCGCTTCTGTACCGCAGGTGAGGGCCCTAGTTTTCTCGTAAGTAACTGGTCCAAACTAGAACTGTGGTAAGGGCCTGTCTAGACTTCTGTGAATTTACACGATATAAAGGTCAAGTCCACTGTGGAGGCCTACTCAGCAGAAGATGTCAGACTACAGACAACTCTGAAGGATAAAAACCTCTCAGCCTCTGTTTCTGTATCTGTAATGAGAATAACAGAATCTGTCTCAGAGTTGTGAGGATTAAATTATACATGAAAACACAGTGCCTGGAACACGGCAAACACTGAATTAGTGCTAGTTATTATTAGCCGCACTAGCCTTGCTTTCTAGCTTTCATAGCCTTATGAGTGGAAGGTCACATTATCCATGTGGCTGATGTGTGCCAGGAAGACAAAGATCTTAGCCTTTCCCTTAGTGTTTTGAAGGACAGGGCTTGAGATAAAGTAGTTTGCCTGTGGTAAAAAAACAACTTCTATTACAAACGTATTCTACTAAAATACTTGTGTGTGCCCAGAAAATGAACATATGAGGATATTTGTAAAAACCGTAATGAACTGAAAACAACTTAAAAGTTGATGAAAAGGATAAGTGTAAGACAAATGTTTAGTAGGAAGGTAATGGAAACAGACTTGTTTGTATTTCACCGATAAAGGCTACTATAATTGTGTTTTATGTGTACCAGATATTTTGCTTTTCTGAATTGCATGCTTGTATCTTCTGTATATATTTTTGCTTGAGTTTTTTGATTCTTTTAATAAAACTGATTAGTAAGTTCTCTTTACCAGTTAAGGGATTTTTAACTTTTCCCATTGGTCTTTGATTATTAAAACAATTTTTAACCTAAATTCTAAAACTTTTAGGCTCAATCTTTACCTCTCAACTTTATCTTTTTGAATTCTCTCTTATCTTTGCTAGGCTGTTAGTTTTGATTATCATCATTTTAACTATAATCAAGGAAGAGCATTACTGTAATCAAAGAATCAGGCGGCATGAGCCTGGCTGCATCTCATCTCACTAGATTACACCCCCATGGGCACAGGGACGCCAGCCATTAGTCCAACACCGAGTTCTCCATACTGAGTAGAATACCTGGCACACAGGAGGAGCCTTATAAATACTTTAGGAACAAATGTGGTACATTTACATATGCCCTCTGCCTTTCTCTCTCATGGTTACCTGGTATTTTACCATACAATTTTAAGCAAATTTAACCAAGGTCTGTGCTCTTTATTTCTACAATGCCTCATAAAATGACAGGCGCTCAGGAGTTAATACAAAACTACTGAAAAACTCTTACTCGTGCAATGATCTCAATTATTTGTATTTTTAAAATTCTGCAGACATTATTTTATGGAACAAATTTAAAGTCACAGACTTCAGATGGAAGATGAGATTTCAAATTTAGTATCTAACTTAAAACGGACATAATTCAATTCAGTGTCTATCAGGAGGTATTGTGACATATTATTTGTGTAATAACATGCAAAAAATGTAATGAATTACACATTTGTGGTGAATGTGTTACCCAGGTATCAGAGAGTCAGGAAATAAGCCTCATATGTTCATAAGCCTATCTAATTTTAATCTTCTAATAAATATTCTATGTATCTTTGAGATATTATTATATATGTCAGTTACACATTTAAATTTAATTTGTTTATATGGCTTAATAACTACATTCACATTGGAGAGAAGAATGCTATCAAGGTTAATGCCTTAATATTTCTGTATATTAAGCTACACTAGTGATCTGTAAAATATTTAAGATTCAAATTCTTTCAGATGAAGTTCCAAATGTATCTTTGTATCACACTATCTTAGAAAATAAACTTTTCTCACAGGTATTTCAATGCCTTAAGAAGATGTATTTAGGGGCTGGGGATCTAGCTCAGTGGTTCAGCTGCCTGCCTTGAAAGCACAAGGTCCCGAGTTCAATCCCTGATACCTCTCAAAAAGGTGTATTTAAAAAAATTACACAGAAAATAGTGTACTACAATTTAATTTCCTTATACTTTTTTCCAATTTACACAAAAGTAATATATTCATAAAAAACATGTAACATAAATTTTTATCCAAGGTTGAAATCTTCCACATATTCTCCTTCAGACATCCTTGAGTCTAAAAAATGAACTTCACATGCCTGGTTCCATATGTTCTGAAAAAACCATACTGAGTGCCCACAGTTCCAGAATAGAGCCCTGGAGGGTGCTAATCTTTCAGCTTTGGTTTCTGACGTATTATCTGAGCTACAGAAAGTTAGTTGTTCAGTGTGTTTCAGAGGGTTCATTAGTTCTTCATGTTTCTTAATTCACATGCTCTGCATCTGAGTTGCAGTTTAGGAACCAGTACTCTGGTCCAAAATAATTGATCCTTAACTACCATTTTATAAGGAAAGAGGTATGAGGTATTACACAGCAGCAAGCTCTTTACTTGTGTATGTTACAGAACCACAATTATACAGATGTAAATAACTTCCTTAGTGGTCCAGCCTCCTTGCTGTTAAAGTTAGGATTAGACCAGATCATGACTTTAACCATGGCTGTTCCTTACTGTCACCGGGGGACTTTATAAACTGCTACCCTGCTTGTGCCCCAGACCAATTACAGCAGTCTCAGGGATGGGACCCAGATGTTAAGATTTTCCAAGTACCTAGGTGACTAATGTGCAGCTGAGGCTGAGAACTACTGATACTAGAGGAAATCTAAGATCCAAACCAGTTCAAAAAGCTTATATATGCCTATCTGAATAAAAGCAGAGCCCTCCTTTTTCTTTTATTTTGGGCAATATCTTAGCAATGGAAACAAAAAGTCATTTTGCATACCTATGCTATACTTCCTTTTCTAAATGAGATAGCTTGCTAATTATATTCATGACTACTCCTTAGTAGTCCACTGTCCAGTCTAGTTAAATAGAATTAGTTAACCACCTTCAATAGGAAAAACAGGAAAGCCTTCAAGAAATGCTTACTTGGGAAATAAGAACCTGTTCAAGTTACTCTACTCATTTGGATATAAAAAAATTCATTTGTCCCATATTCTTAGTACATGTCAGCTGTACTTTAAATATAAACATGATTACTTTATAATATTGGTTAGCTATGTATAAGAACTAGTCACTGATTTTAGTGTGAAATCGTTTTGCAAGTGAGCAACTGGGTGTTATTCACCTCTTTCCCCTGCTTTAGATGACAACCACAGTACCGAGAATTATTCAACAGAGTGACTTTCAGTTATCACTCACAGGACTTAAAGAGTTCTTACTGTGATATATAAGCAATGCTACTAAGGAGATAATAGGTTAAATTTTAGGTCAATTAAGAAATAGACACATGTATTTTAGACCGTACTCTTTTTTTTTTTTGGTACCAGGGATCGAACTCAGGTCCTTGTGCTTGTGAGGCAGGCGGCGGAACCACTGAGCTAAATCCCCAGTCCCAAGACACATGTATTTTAAAAATGAAAACTTACATTGAAGTAGCACTTACTTTGTCAAGTTGTACTCAAATCCTTGTGCACATATGAATTTAGTTCTCAAATGACTAAGAAGACCTACTAATATTCTTTTCCATTTTCTAAATGAGGAAAAAGTGCATTGAGAGAGCTAATTTGCCCAGGATTATAGGGCAAAAGGAGGAAATTGTACTCAATCCCAGGCAGCCTGGCTCAAGGGCAAGCTCTTAAAAAGAAGCTCCACATCCATGGTTAGATACTTGGGACCTACTGACTGATAAAAATTTTGACATGGCTTTAAAATAACATCTATATTCATAATTTTTATACTGTACTTGAAATATAATCTATGTTTAAAAATTTTACATTTCAAGCATATTTTGATAAAACTCTAAGATAAAGGAGTATAAAACAAAGTGCTTATTGGGCACTGTTGTGCATGCCTGTATCCTCAGCTACTCAGGAGGACGTGACTTATAGAGAGGCCAGCATGGACAACTTAATAAGACCTAGCTTTAAATACAATTAAAAATAAAAGAGCTGGGGTTGTGGCTCAGTGCTCATTGGGGTCAATCCTTAGAACCCAAAAAATAAATAAACAGAATGCATGGACTACAATATTAACTCCTTTGGGTGGTAGGCTTTGAATTGGCACATTATAAGATACAGTGATTTTCCAGAATGCAACTTACACGTTTATCAATATCGCCATGCTGAAGCTGAACAAATCGAGCACTAATGGCAGCAATATAGCTCTGCTGATTGGAGAAAGCAACTCGCCCAGCACCTTTTGGGTATTTTAGCTCTGGATCCGTATCAATTCCTGCGTAACAAACACCTCCATACAGCCGGTCCATGATCATGGCAAGTTCCACTTTAAAATGAAAGATGTTCACAATAAACATGAGAGGACAGCAAATCAGCAATGTTTCTTAAAAAGTAAACAACAGGATACTAACAAAAGAGAGTTGTTAAAAGAGAGCCTGAGATCAAGAGCCCTGTTTTTCTTTTTTTAAAACATAAAGTTAGATTCCTACCACATCTACCCATTTCCCAGCCCTAAACCCACATACTGTATACTGTGTCTTCTTTTCGGGTACAGTTCTACACTCTTTTCTACGTTCAATCCTTTCACGTGTGAACAGTGTACATCCAATCACTCTCTTCCTGTTCTTTGAACCTTTATTAATCAATAGGTCTCTTCCCTTGGCTCTAGACTCACAAATGTCACTGCCTCCTAGACTATTCATGTTGGTATTTCACAGATGCTGCAACCCACAGTGTGTTAAAAACACAACACAGGTAATCATCTCATTATACCCATTCCAATGAGGTTCTGCTGACCCAGTTAGTACACAATGGAAATAATCAAGTTGCCAAGTCAGGATTTTTGGCTTCATTCTGTTTTCTTCTTCCTCACTGTACATGTGATCCTATCACCCTGATTTTCAAAACACACCTAGGATGTGATCTCTTCACCTCCATCACTTTAAGGTGTCACACATCTGGTTTATGGCATGGCCTTATCTCTTTGCTTTTGATCTTCATCCTCCCATTTATTTCCAAAACAGTAGCAAGAGTGATTCGCTTAAAAACTATACTAGAAACTATATGGTTTAACTGAAATTTTTATTTTGGAACTCTGCATGGTGCCATGAACTTGTGTTTAAAACTGAAACTAGGATCTTCTCTCCTGCCCTGCTCCTTCTCCAGTGTTCCTCATAGCTCAGTCAAAGGCACCACTGTCTACCTTGGAACTTAGGATGAAAGCGGAGATTCAACCTCTGCATTTGCCTTGTGAATATATATATATATTTTTTGGTACTGGGGATCGAACTCAGGTCCTTGTGCTTGAGCAGCAGGCTGCAAAACCACTGAGCTAAATCCCTGGGCCTGCCTTGTGAATATTTGTGACATCTGCTCACTTGGCTCTTTGTGCACTGCCACACTAATTCCTGCCACCACTGTCTGCCTCCTAGACTGCAATCACAGGCTTCTAAAACCAGGGCTCTCCATATTTACTTGCAACTGAGCTTCCCTCTCTGGGTCATTAGCTTAACTATATTTCAAAATTCCAAATATGATCATGTCTCTCATTTTTACAAACTCTGAATGGTTTCCCTTGCTCTGAGGATAAATACCAAATCTGCCTACTAGACTTGTACAGTCTAACTGCTGTTTACTTTTTTAATGCCTTCTTGTGCCTCTCCCCTCTCCTCAAGTCCCTGGTCTGCCACTCTGGGTTGCTTCCAGTCCATTCCATGCACCCTGCCACCTCCTGAATATGCCATTCTGTCTGAAGTGCACTCCTCACAACCCCTACCGCCCCACCCTACTCCTTTTGTTCAAACTTTATATCACAGTCCCCTCCTACATGTGCTCCTCTATTCCCCATGGTCTTTCTTTGTAGCAGTCATGTTTTTAAAATATTTATAGTGTGAACAGTTCTTTACTACATCTCCCAGACTGGAAGAGGACAGAAATCATTAACACCTTTAGGTAGTACATGGTACCTTATAACCTGCGTATACAGCAGGCATTTACAGCTACAGTTTTGTCCTATATGACATCTTTTAGTAGATTTCTGGCTCCTGATTATTGATAAGCAAGTTCACCACTCATTCATCGAAAACACTAATTTAGTTAATACTGTAGTTAAGATACAGGAAAAAGAAAACAATCCATGTATTTTTCAGATGCCAGAATCAACCCATATGTAATTAAGGGACCCAAAATCCCCCTATTTTAGAGAGTTGCACCTAGGAAGTCTGAGTATTCAGGTAGATATCAACTAATAAAAGCTTGAGTGTTTCAAGAAAGGCTCTCAGAATTTGGCAACTATAGGAACACTGTGAAGAAATCTTCTCAAGACCTGCCCCACAGTGTCAAGTACATAACAGCTGCCGAATATTTCCTGAGTTACTTAATTTGTATTTAAATTATTTTTAAAAAATCTGTTAATATTCTACCTACCAGCCCTTAGTGGCCTCGGAACACCTCCAACAAAAATTGTTTTTCGGGGATCCAAAGGCTGAGAACCATCCATAACAAAGTCACTATCACTTAAATTCCAAGGACGTATTTGAACCTACGAAGAAAATTACATTGGGTGTTACTCCTTTTATTTTTAAAAAATTTATACAACTGGATTTGAATATTGTTAATTCTATCTATGTAATATAAATCACCTGGATGTTTAACTGACATGGCTCTTAACATGGTAATTTGTTTCTAAACAAAAATTTCAAAATAGTTTTTGGAAAACTTGCATTTGTAGTCTGGAGTTCCGATGGCATTTACTTACTGGTTTGTCCTTGATTGTAGGGCTGGAAACACACAAATAGAGCTTTCCATCTTCCTCAATACAAGCATCAATTAGTGCCTGAACTGAGCTCTCTTCTTGAAAGAGAAGAAATGCATAGCCTGGAAGAACCATGGAAAATGAGACAGTAGGTCAACATAAGGATATCAGCCCCAAATTTCAGTACTGTTTAGAAAATACATGCTATTGAAAAAACTAATACGACTTGAATTCTTATGCCTTCTACAGGAAAACACTATATTCTCTGGAATATATTAAAAAAACAAACAGTAAAGGGATTAGCTGTCTTCTGTGGAGCACTCAGTCTCAGGTACTGTTTATGTGAATTGTTTCATTTGATTTTCACAAATCTATGATAAGTGAAGAGCTATTTACATCTCAGTCTATTACTTGAACAAAGTCAATCTCACAGCGTACAGATGGCTGAATAATGTAAAACTCAGGTCAGCCTTAAGGTCTCGCATGCTCTTTCTAATAGTAACCCATGTTCTTAACGAGCTTGTCAGCAGTAACTTGGTGAGTGTATCAGGAGCCAAAATTTCCTTTAAATGCCCTCAGGATAATTCACATTCTAGAGGATACTTTCAGACTACAGCATACTTGGAAAGACCCAAGAAATGCCCTAAGTAGAGGGAAGATTCCGCAGTCTTTTAAAAAGTCCCAAAAGATGCTAAGATAGTTACCCTAGGGAGACTGGAATGAAACATGTTCTTTAGTGATAGGGCAAAACTTTTAAATCAAATCTCAACTTGGATAGGCAGTGGGATACCTTTTATCAAACTGGAGACTGTTCAGACATGGATATAAGCTGGCTGGTATGAGCTTCCTATTCCCTTGGGAAGTATATCCTCCCTCCTTTCCTTGTGAACAACCAATTGTCAATCTTTAATTAAAAACCATGCATCCAGCAACACAGAACATAAAGCATATAAAAGAAAGCATAAAAATTTATACTGTAAATTTACTATTATGTGAATATTCCCAGCAGCTGGTAAGTTAAGAGACCTAGAAATCTGCCTTGCCTCAGTGACATTTCTCTGCCATTAAGTGTGCAGCGTAGTGATCTAGTCCCATCCAAGGCAGCCTCAAGCAGCCATGGACACCTGCATCCATAATACAATGGGAAGTTTCACTCAGAACTCAGAAAACACAACTTACTGTCAACAATGGCTTTTATGTTACAAAGGTTTGATATGGCACAAAGGAACTTCCTTTGAATAAAAATACTTGATTCCATAGAGAAAAAAACACGAGACCTTCAAACCAATCTACACAAAGAGAAACTTCTGAAGTTAAGATTATGCAAGATTAAAAATACACCTTAGCCTTCATTTAAATACACTTGAAAAATATGAAGACTGGCTTCCTTGTTGTTGCTTGTTTCTTGAGACAAGGTCTTGCTATGTAGTCAAGGCCAGCCTTGAACTTGCTATGCAAACCAGGCTGGCCTCCAAATCATAATCTTCCTGCCTTAACCTTCTGAGTGCTGGAATTACAGGTGTGTACCACCATGCCAGGCAAGACTGGTTTTAAGGCCTTAATTTTGATAAAAACTAAGGATATTACAACTATGGTGGTTCTGTAATAATTAATATTTACTAAATTAATATTTTAAATTTGTTAAGCAATAGGTTATGTAAATTATGACCCAACTAATGCAAGCCATTAGATATTAAAATGTTTGTACAAAAACAAACCACAAAATAATCTTTGGAATTTATTAAAGCAAGCTAACAATGATCATGTAAGGTGAATGTTGTTCACTGCAAAGGAATTGGGTACCTCTGTGGCTAGCATCTAAAACAGTGACGGCAAACATTTTAGAGACTGAGTGGCCAACTGCTACCCAAAACCCACTTAACTGTCACAAGGTGCCAACACTGCAATTAAACCTGAATCTTGAGGTGTTCAGTTTAGAACAAACACCTGGCTCACATGCTGACAGACAGGGCTCTGCATGCCCACTGCGGCACGTGTGCCAATGGTTTGCCACCACTGATCTAAAGGCTCAAGTCATTCCTAAAATGACAAGGTGGCTGTGCTCCCTGGATGCTTCTGTATCAGTGTTTTTCCATACTGTGGGAAATGCTGAATTACAGAAATGATAAATATTTGAGAATAAGAGTTGGAAACACTGGAGTCTGACAATGGCTACAATGAACTATATAACTATACTTTAAAAAAGCCTCCAATTTGGCAGTACTAATCTTTTTCTCTTTTCTTTCAATTATTTTAGATTGAGAAGATAAACAATGAAAACATGACAGTAACCATGATAACAACAACAGCAAGGAAGATAATTATTCTGCTTTATCAGTTTTAACCCCATGTTCCTAGGCCTAAAATGCACCATCGCCTTGGGATGACCAAGTACACTCAGGCAAAACCTGTGTCTGTCTTCACCCACACCAATTCTAAATTCTTTCTAAAATTATAGTCACTCCTTGGTATCCATGTGATTGTGGACAATCTGCCAAAAAACAAAATCCAAAGATATTCAAGTTCTTATATACAATAGCACAGGCAAATTCTGTATACTTTAAATCATCCATTATTATATAAGGTGATATGTAAATGTTACATAGGTAGTTGTTATACTATACTGTCTAGGAAAAAAACGACAAGAAAAATTTCCATATTGTTCACCATAAATGCAAATGTTTTTTCACTGAACAGATTTGCTCCATGGTTGACTGCATCTGTCACGGACAAGATATCTGAAGATACGGAGGGTAGACCGAACATTTCCATTCTGGTCTGAAACTTCAACTTCTCTTATCTATCCGAATTACACAGTAGCTCTTCGATTTAATCTGAAACTTCTCAGTGATGTTTTTCCGCACCTCCTTGGGTCAAAGTAATTTCTCTATCCTGTAGTGATTATTAGTGTTTACATCACTTATTGGGCAATTTCCAATCTGTGAATTACTAAGAACACAAACACTATTTATGAAGTTCAGTGAAGACAGCTTTACAGATGACACTAACAAAACAACTGCTTGTTTCTCAAGCTGCCACAATGTACCACTGCAAGTGTGATGAATGTTATGAAAGAGACAGTGCTAGGAGCTGGTATGACTGACAAAGGACGAGGAGGCCTCATTAGGTCAGTTCTCAAAGGACTCTGGGGGCAACTGATACCAAAGCTGAGATCCAAAGATAAGTGGGGACAACCCAATAAAGAGTTACAGAAAAAGCCTCAGGGCCCCGGCACGGCCAGACAGAGAAGTGCTGAGGCATGGAGAGCAGGACCAGTTTTGGGACAGTTACTCAGTTCAGAGATTCTAACAGAATGGATAATGTTCAACTCTTCTTCCCCTCGCTTCTCTGGTCATCGTGGGCAGGTACACCTCCCACCCCTATGAACGCTTGCCTCCATCATGTGACGTGCTCAGTAACACGAGCACGACTGTGTTGTAGTCCTCTGGTGATCAGACACAGAATGATCCTATGAGTAAGTGGCTGACGGAACTAAGCATCCGCCTAACATTTTATCTTTTCATAAAACTAGGAGTTAAAATATAAATAAATTCACTTCACCCAGTCTTCATTTTACTGAGTGGAAGGACACTTTTTTTCATGTCTATACCTGCATTACCTAGAATGATGCTCTACAGAGAAAATACTCAAACACTTACTGACTGGAGCTTATGGAACCGAACCGTATCAGTTACAATGGGATCTACCACCGGAGTCTCTCACTGTGCCTGACTGGCTCCAGTCCAGGCGGGACAGTTCTCAGGATCAGCCCCCATCTCTCAGGGTACCAGGCTCCAACAATTATTAGTATTTATACAAAATCTCTTATATTCAATTCTTGGAAAGCACAAAAGTAAGCAACTAGCATTATTTCTGATAATAATTGACAATATTTCTTTTGCTCTCATCCAACAAATTTCCTAACAAATATGAACAGTGAAACTTCTTACCTTTTGGTGGAAAATAGGACTTGCTTTCTGCTTTATGAGGCCAATCTACTACCAAAGGCCCAAATCTTCTGAAGCTAGCAGTTATTTCATCTTTAAAAAATACAAATAATATCCATTAGTAATTAGCTTTAATGATTAATTTTAAGAATCCTTGATTTTTGATTACTTCAAAGATTTAACATCTTAAAGTGTCAAGTTATGCTAAGGTAAGCTAGACTCTAAACAAAGAGAATATGGTCAATATGCTTATTAAGATAATATGTAAAATCTACAACTGTTTTAATCAAGATAAGTTTACTTTTAAGTAGCATACTGAAAAAAATAATTCCAGTACTGTGTAAATTACTCTGTAAATTAAAAAATTTTTATGTAACTTCACATGAACACTAAATGCTTATGGTACACTTCATAGCACATGTATCAGTACTAGCTTGGAAAAAGTCAACGTCGTGTCAATTTAAATAGAGCTGTTGCTGCTTCACAAGTAAAATCATAGTCTTGTAGGAAAGAGATGGTTTCCTGAAACAGACTGGAATAGCTACAATGCTGGTAAAATGTAGAGGTCTAACACATACCAGGTAGCTTCACTGAAAATCACATACTATATGGTCACATCCAATAATACAGTCATAGCTATGGAAATCTTATCATCCTGATTAATATTTAGGGTAAGCTTGTGTATATTTGAATCAGAACTGAAATATTCCCCCAAATATATCAACATCTTCTCTATAAGTTATTAATGAGTGGTAATTTCCTATAACATCATAAATATAGTTCAGTACTTTTAACCTTGACCTTCTGTTTTTACACATGATCATTTTCACATTTTTATTAGCCTTTGTATAATCTGAAATTTCCCACTTGATGTTGTTTTCCATTTCCCTTTTCAATTTTATAGCCTCTTACCCATTTCTAAGAGTGTGTTTTTCCCTAAAGAAATTTACCTTTTGATTGTCATGCACTTTCGACATAGTTTCACAACTGATTCCATTATTTGCATATAAGTATGCATGTGTGCACGTATTATGTAAAAAGTTTTATGTGTGATATATTTAAATATGTTCTGTATTTTAAAATTAAGATATGAACTAGATATGGAAATCTTAGAAAAGATGCTCACAGTAACAATATGTATAAGATACAAAGAATAGAAATTTAAAAATTTGTCCAATTATCTTCATATTTCCACAGGTGACAAATTTTTTTTTTTAACAGAGACAGATCTCCATTCTTGTTTGTTTGTTTGTTTTTTGGTACCAGGGATCGAACTCAGGTCCTTGTGCTTGCGAGGCAGGTGGCAGAACCACTGAGGTAAATCCCTGGCCCGAAAACCACATATGCCCATTTTTTTTTTTTTTGGTACCGGGGATTGAACTCAGGACCTTGTGCTTGCAAGGCAGGGAGCAGAACCGTTGAGCTAAATCCGAAGCCCAGATCTCCATTCTAATTCTGAAAATTTGTCAAAGAGGTAAAAAAAATTCCATACTCTATTTACGCTATACTTCAGTGTTTTGTTTCTTTTAAATTTGTTCTTCTTTTGCTTATTTTGAGGGCCAAATCAATACCTTACCTTCATCAATATCTGGAGGAAGCCCACCAACAAAAACTTTTCGAGAGAAGCGTTCTATCCGTTCTCCATTTTGATGAGCTGAGTAACACGTAGGTGAATTTAAAACACCAACTTGATCACTGTGGCCATCATCCAGCAAGCCATCATCTATTGGAAACAGGGACGAACGGCCTAAAATATAGGTACAGATAAAACTTGAATATCAGGTCTAAAAAATGATAAACTCAAGCATAAAATTTTTGAAGACAAACTCAGAGGTGTAAAAAAAATAGAGACAACACAGGTGTAAAAAATTAATAAAAATTCGGATAGTATGTGGTTTAAATTACTGGGATAAAGAGAGAATCTGAAGAATGACTTATGAATAAACACAAATCATGTGACAACAATTATACTGTAAAAGAAATACTAGTTCACTTCAATTTCTTACAGACAACAGCAAAAGTCTGATGTATGGAGAATAGACTTGATATGTAGTAGGAGAATTCTTTAGAAACTGGTGGCAGAAAAAAATGGCACAGACTAAATAGATAAGAAGACATAATTAAAAGTCACTTGCAGACCACAGTAAGTAAGGACATATAAGTCATATAAGGACATATAAGTCACTTGCATATAAGACCTTGGAGTAGTAACTTACTACATGCATGCCAGTTCATGAAAGTGTAGGTGGGGCTTCTCCACATGTGTGAAACACAAAAAGGCACCCTTCTTGGACTCTAGTCCCCATCTGAGCCTGCCCTTCAGAAATGCACCCTCATACAGGGCACACCCTGTACAATCCCTCTGATGCAACCCTGCTGCTTGAACACTTCAGGGACCAAGAGAAAAGAAAATGATCTAATATAAGATAGTCTCCTGTCCTCAGAAAATGCATACTTAGAAAAGGCAAGATTGATGGATATATGATAGTACATATCCATAAGAAAGCTAACGAAATGCTTCAGAGGAAGGATACTGCAAGAACAAGGTAGTCTGTCCAACAAAGGTAATGTGTTAAATCTCCCAAATGATATTATCTTTTATATGTTTAAAGATATGTAGAATCTTTAAAGGTAGAGGTTTTAGTAAAGTTGGATGGGAGTCACATGTAATTAGAATTTTGTCAAGTACAAATATCAAATGAAGACTGGTCCTCAGAAATGTACTAGACAAGGAAAAAGAGCAAGAATGTAGACGGGTTTTTCTTTCAAGATTAAGTGAAGGATTTGGGGGGATAAAGAGACAGGCATACAATGTATACCATGTGTCTTAATCTATAAAGTAATACTCAACCCACAGTGTCATTAATATGTTATCATCTTGCCGGGGATTTAGCTCAGTGGTTTCACCGCCTGCTGTGCAAGCGCAAGGACCTGAGTTCAATCCCTGGTAGCAAAAAAAAAAAAGTTCCAAATATGTTATCATCTTCAAAAACAGGATACATAAAGATGTGGTATAAACAAAGACTATCAAAATATGCTATCTTGTTTCTAAGGGGTTGGGGGCAAAAAGGAGGAGGCTATACATCTGAATGAGCTAGTTAGCCAGGCAGATGCTGGATATAAGAATGTAAAGTATATAAAAACAACAGGGAGAAAGATCATATTTGGTATATAAAACAAGAATTACTCTACGGATGTTCTGAAACATATCCCTGTTCACTGACTAACTTTGTTAGTAGCAGTTTAGCTTTCCAAATACTTTTGTTACCAGAATTATGAGCCAACAGGAAAAAAAAGGTCAACCTTCTTTGTGATAGATGAAAAGAAACTCTTCAACATGAAATTATACCCTGATAAGCCCGTATCTGAAATGCTGGGCCCAGAGTGTTTCGCATATTGTAGTTCCAAGTTGTGCAGATTTGGGGTTTTCAGATTAGGGATGCTCCACCTGTGTTTTTACTGAATAAAACGAACCTCACTCAGTTTAACTTCTAAAGATTAGACTATCTCTGTATAATTGTGCATTTTAAAAGGACAGGGTAGAGAAACAACACATGGGTACTGAGTAGGTTTTAGGGGAAAAATGATGACTCTAAAAGCTGTATTTCAGCCATGCCAATACCTCGGAAATTCTTTCCTTTTAACGTGTCCTAATATATAAACTTAGCAGCCCACGCAATTAACCAAGTCTAAAAGACTTTTATCTTGAGAAAAAAAATCATAAATATTTGGGATCTAAGTAGAAATATCGAATGCACAGGCATAAGAAATCACTATAAGCAACGCCAGAGAGGAGCCCAAAGTTAACTTAAGCTTTTTGTTAACTTGTAAATTTATTTGTATTACAAATCCATTGCAATAACCATACTGTATTATTAGTAATCTCTTAGAATTAGTACAACTAAAACAATCTATAATCCATTAATCAAAGTTCAGCTGATCAGAGGGTGCAACAGAAAGGCCGAGACCAGCTAACGCAGGAGACACCAGCAAGATCCTTCAGCACTGACCTCTTTCTTTCAAGAAGCTGTTAAAAGCATGGATTTTATGCTCATTTTGAAGAGGAGTTAAGGGTATCAGTCAACAAAAGACTACTTTTTATCTTGACAAGTGTCCTTCCCTATAACCCAAATTAATGACTATATATGAACCACTATATAAATTATGCCTGCCATGTACAGTGTACTTCAAACATACTTTCTAAGAATGATGTACAAATATTTTCAGGTTCTTCTACTTTGAGGAATAAAAATTTGTTATAAGGGAAATACAACATAAATTCTGTGGGATGCAGCAAAAGCCACAGCTAACGGAAGAATCATAGTTTTAAATGCACGTTAGCAAACTAGAATTGCTTAAATTCTCTAAGTTTCTGCCACTAAAGATGAAAAAAATACCAAATTAAATGCAAAAAACCACAGAAAATTAAAAAACTAAAATTAATGACATAAAAAACAGAGACTAACATTAAAGAACATCAATAAAGCCAAACTTGATTCTTCGAAAGCTTATGAAATCGATACCTCTAGGCAAAGCTCATCAAGAGAAAAAGGAAACTCAAATTACCAATAGTATGTATAACAAAGGGAACATCAATCAATACAAAATTTACAGACATTAAAGACTAAAATAAAAGGATTATTATGGACAATTTTATGCTAACAAATTTAACAACGAAAGGAAATGAATAAATCCCTGGAAAAACTTAACCTTTTCAACACTGGTATAAGAAGAAAAATAAAATTTGAATAGTTCTATAGCTGTTAAAGATTAAAGTAAAATCATGACTTGAAAACAACCAAAAAAGCAAAACAAACCTTCCAACAGCAACAAAAAAACCTCCAGACCTAGATGGCTTTACTGGTGAATGAACTAGACTTTTGAAAAAGAAGTTAATCGCAATTTTAGACACCCTCTTTGAGAGTATAAAAGAGGAAAAACTTCCTAATTTATAACCGTGATACTAAAACTTGACAATAATGTTTAAAGAAAACTTATATGACAATATTCCTTATAAATAATGATGCAAAAATCTTAACATCTCGGCAGAATAAAAAATTCACAAAAAACTGGAAAACACATCATGATTAAGTGGAATGGGCAATAAGCATATAAAAATGTTTCAGCATTATTCTGAGTCATCAGGAAAATACAAATTAGAACTGCAATGAGACACTATTTATAAACCTGTCAGAATGGATAAAATAGTCAATAATCTAGTCAGTTTCATACTCTTTGAAGTATAAAATTGGTAGTTTCTAATAAAGTTAAACATACAATTATGCTATGAACCAGTTATTTCACTCTTAATTATATATCCAAGGGAAATGAGAATGTATGTCCACACAACCACACAAAGGATACTCAAATATTCATGAACACTTTATCAAGCTCCAAATGGCCAACCTGAATGTCTTTCAATAGAGAAAGGGTAAAAGTATGTATATCATACAATGAAATTCTACTCACCAACCAAAAAGAAGTAATTCACAGTAATTTTGGTGAAAATCTACTCACCAAAAGAAAAAAAAAAAAAGCATGGGATTTTTCCCTCTTTCTATAAAACGTGTTGCTGTATATAATGGACAGTGTATCATGTGTTTCCTAAACTGAGCCTGTGCTCATCGCTGTATGGTAGACTTGTGGCCTTGCCCTAACCTCTGGTCCCCTTGTGCGTCTAAGTCTCTGCACAGCACACTGGTATGCAGCCCAGAGAAGCCCAAGCTGCCAACACTGGACGCTCTGCTACTGCTCCCAGACATTAACAATCAGACTTGACATTTCAGACTTTAGCCTTATTCTACAATCTCAGAGTGAACACACTCCCAGCACATCAACAGGGGGAGGGAGGCAGGAGATGAAAGAAGACGTTTGCGTACACATAGTTGATTTCTAGCTTGAATCTAAGCATGGTTCTTTGAACTTGATAGATCATCTCATAATTTTATTTACTTAATGTTATGAAATAAAAATACATAAAGTATAAAAACTGAAGATTAATATGAATATTCTTCCTATCTTTAGGATGCCAGCAGTCAAGGGTAGATAATGTTTTTTATTTAATATGCAACACTTAACATCTATCAAAGTACTAGAGGGAAGTTCAGGATGGATTTCTCTTGAGTGCCATTTGTTTAATCAAATAGACTCACTGACTGGTACGCTGCTCCAAACAACTGAGAATATTATGCACCTATTACTTAAAATATCTAGTCCCAATAATAGGTTTGTCACTTCTTAATAGCAGATAACTAAGATACTTAATCTATTATTTTTAGACCTATATGGCTTTGCAAATTTAATTTCTACATATATTTGCCTTAAAATTAAGTTCATTAAAATTTTGTTTCTTTTAAAATTTGGTGTGGCTGGGTGTAAGTGTACAGCAATCTTTTGAGGGAGGGGAGAGCAAGGTCAGCAATTTTTCTTCTTTAAATGGCTAGAAAATAAAGAGCTCAAGCTTTGCAAGCCACATGCACTCTACTCTGTTCAATGACAACTGTGCCATCATTGTAGCCCCAACGCAGCCAGGCAAAAGGAAGCAAATGCGTAAATGATAGCTGGGTTCCGATAAATGCTGTTTATAAAAACAGGAAGCCTGGCCCGTGGGATGCTGTTTGCTGACCCCTGTGACAAAATATTATATCCTGGCATTTTTTCATGCTTTAAAGATCACGCCATTCTCTGATAATGACTGAAATTATACATCAAAGACTATGTGTCAGACACATAGTATTAATGATTCCTTATTAATGGTAGCGTGTAACTGAATAATCAAATGCTGGTAACTGAACTTCCATAATTTGCCTCACTTTAAAATGATTTCTCTTATCTTCCCATACTGTATTTAATCTACTAACTCAAGCTTTGAGTTTAATCTGCTAGAAAAGATTGCTTTCTGGGGCTTAGTACCACTAAAACTTATTATTTCTATGACTTAAAATGCTCTTTATATTTTTACTCTTTCTGGGGCATAGCAGGAAGAAGATTAATATAGGATTAAAGGGACAGATTGTGATACAGTAATATTTTAAGTTGAGTGAAAGAGCTTAAATTACACTTCACACTTCCCTGCATGATCCCCTACTCCACGCCAACCCAGATCAGTATGTGCACTAGCAGGATGGAATGAAAAAAAAATGAACAAAGAGTAGCAACACAAGAGAGGTAGTTTTCTAGGTGTTACTGGCAGCTCCCTATGTTACGTCTTCCTCGCTGTGATGCTGTCTCCCAGGCAGCTTGGAAGTAGCAGAACTCTGGCTCCCAGAGGACAGAGATACCCACGGGTAGCAAATAGTTGGTTACAAATGAAATGCAGGGAAAGAAAGCCTTGCTTTTTTCTTATTTCCAATATAATCACCTTTTTATTATTCCAAAGTTAGCATAGTTCATAAATTAATACCTGGAACCAGTTTGATTTAAAGGTCATATTTATCTTAAGCAAATTAAAAAAATATATAAAGTCGTTTTGGTAGTAATTTGGTTTAACTGTAGTCCAGTTAAAATTTGTTTAAATGAAAACAGCACCCTTTGCTGGACTGAAAGGTGAGTCAAAGGCCACAAGTAAGAAGAAACCAGTGCCCCTTGAACTGGAAGGGGAACTGAATGCTGTTCACTCACCACTGTGCTGGAAGCAAAAATTATAACAATTATGTGACACATCTCACATGAATGGAAGATATGAGATTCATTTTTTCTAAAAAGAAAAATGAATAAATGCAGTTTCTTTGGTGGATCAAATGTAAAACATGAAGCTCATAAAAGGGAGTCCTTGGTAGTTACATATTCCCAAAATGCCCAGAGAACCAACTAAAAAAATTACTATAGTAATGCCACATAATCTGAGAGAAAAATTCAAGCATCAACTGCCTCTTATACCAAGCCAAATATGTGTGAAAAATGTCAGATCTGTTTCAAAGGTAGCTTTTACCCTGAAGCCTTAAACCATGTGAGAAAGTCTCCCTGGGAGCCAGTTCTGAAGGGGATGCCTTTATAGGTCCCAGGGGACAGAGATGGACTAGAATGGTGGCAAGTTCCTAAAAATGGGAAAAGAAATTTTTAGTTTTTCTTACTGTCATAATGATCATCTACAACTACTGAACTGAGATTTAAGAAGATAAACAGCAGCACTACTTTCTGTTACCCTCTTCATAGGAATTTACTAGATCATTGATATTTATACTGGAGTATGCCAAGCTAAACATAAGTCACGAATGTTAAAAGATGAAAAGTGTTTAACAAGAAAAGAATTCTAAATTCCTCCACAGCTGCAAAAATACCTAAAAATCAGACTAGCAAACGTGGGTTGTTTCAAGAGAACTGCACAGTGCAATAAGTTAGTCCATAGACCTAAAAAATAGGTACTAAGGTTAGAAACTTTCCTACCCTCTCCTCAGCTTGCTAATAACAGTCTTCAGAAAGTTACTTAGCCTCAGATTTCCAAGCTTTGAGTTTTGGTCTTTTCTAACTTTTTAGTTAAAAAACTGAAGAAGCAAAAGTTTTAGTCAAGCAATTGAAGAAACAATTTCAATTATGACGTTGAATTCAGATGATCTGAAATATGAAACAGGAACTACTACTTAAGAGTCTAAAATCTAGTTTGGCTTGGCAGTGGTGCCAAATAGTCTTACACACATTCATGACCAGGTGAAAAGAAACTGAAGCACTGGTACACATATACAAAGTTTATCTCAGGGCATTTTGATTATGTCCATCCTCCATGACTTAAAGATTCTAGAGGCCAGGGAGAACACTTTTTATTCAGTGTGGCACAAATAACAACCAGAGGTATGTAAATATCATGATTACTGCTTACTTAGTGGATAGTCTAGCAGTGTTAAGTTACTTTTGCTTCCTCTCATTCTACTTTTCTCCTTCTCAATTTCTAGACATGAAAAAGAGAGAGGCAAAGTTTTAGTCACAGGAAATGTCAGCTGCTTTCCTAGGGAGTTCAGTAATACTCCGGCACCATATAATCCTAGCTTTACTCCTGGGATGCTAGAACACTAGGGAATCCTAGAGTGAGAGGCGGGAGGGAGGGGAGACGGGGGAGTGGGTGTTAGAAAGGACTGCAGTCTTAGAAGACAGAGAAATATTAGCAGCTTGATTTCTACTAATGAGTGTCAGCAGTAATTTACTTAGTGTATATGCTATTTTCAACTGGGTCAAACATAAAATAATCTAGGATTGTAAATTATGTAATTTAATGATTTAAATTTAATAATTTAATTTTAATAATCTGTTACAGTTTAGAGAATGAAAAAAATCACACTGCATGTCACCCTTAGTAATAGCTATAGTGACAAATGTGTTAAGCAAACTATAAACAGCAGCTTTAAGAGATAAAGAAATAGCTTTGTTAAAAGTTAAAAATTTGGTTATAGTTTAAGTAGAACAATTTTATTAAATAACCATAATTAGTATGAAAATAGACCTTAAAGGTTAAGAGAGTTAGAATTAAAACTTTTGCAAGTGCTTATATCAAAGCTTAACTCTCCTATGAGTATTCAGACACTGCATTATCTGGAATAATTAATTCCAACACTGATCAGGAAAACCCAATTAGAAACAGTTACACCATAGCAAACGGAAATGAATTACCTCGTCTTCGCCCATAACTCCTTGCTGCATGTAAACAAAGGAGAAATTGTAAAATGTCAGAACTAAAAATAAGCCCACATGTACAAATACTTGTGATATGAAAGGATATGTGGGCACATGGAAATCAGTGCTACTTTAAGAGCTACGTAACATTTGCATGTTTTACCATTTACAATGAACTTTCATTACAGGTATGATATATATGTCATGTGAACCATGTAACAGAATATACACAATTTATTCTCCCTCATATTGAAAATTCACACATAAATATTTGCTTCATTTCCTCTAGATAGGAACATACAATTTTTAGTTAAACAGCATCCCAAATATTTTTCTTAATGAATGAAAATAATCTAAATTAAATTCTTATTTTTCAATTCATTACAGAGACTGATAGGTTATACTGTCCAACAAAAAGCTATTCAGACCCAATCCATCTTACAGCCAACCCTCTATGAAAGTAGTACTGGAAGATACAGATGAGTGATAAACCACTGCCAACCTGAAACGGTGAAGTACATACAGCTTAGGTGGAATATAAAGTATCAAAGCCTGTTCAAAGTTGCTTAGAGAAACGGCTACAGATATACTAGAGCTAATAATGCTTTCTATTCTTCAGATATGTGTCTACTTCTGAGATTCAGAGGGATTCATATACAAATTACTGTTAGTATCACAGAATAATGGTACATACGTTAAATACTGTAAAAATATAAAGTAGAAAGGCATTTCAATTTATATTACTAACAGTTTACATCATTACTAAGGAGAAAAAAATATGGCAATTTCTTCTTCATAAGAAACTATAGTTTGATAAGATCTACAACTTGATTTTATATAACTCCTCCACCCAAATCTGAACACACAATTATTTTTATCCTAGAATTAGTACATAAAATTAAGACAATAACAAAATAATGACTGTTTAAAAACTAAGATATTTATTCAGATTAATAGATTTTTGTTTGGACCCGCAAAAATTCAATGTTGAATAAAACTCAAATGAATTTATGTACTGAAAATTCTTAGAAATGTAGTTTATCCAAAAGTACAAGAGTTCCAGATTGAAAGGAATCATTTTACATCATTAAATATACTCTCTTATGGAAGTTGTACAAAATGTATTTTTAACTTTATACTAAGGCTTTATCTAATATAAAGAAAGTGGCTATAAGAAAGTAAATAGTCATTATTTCCTCTATATGAAAAAGTAGGACAAACAAACATCAATTCTTATACTTCCAAGAAATGAGTCAACAAATACAAGGTTTAGATCGGTCTTCTGAATGAACACCTTCATCTGCACCTGTCACGCCTGGCCTGTCTTGTGCTCTAATGACCTCAATGCCTGGCAGACTGATTTCGGTTACCTGACCTATATATTAATTTAAGATGAGGGTAAAAATGGAAGCAGCATTTGGAATTTTGTTGTCTAGGTCTTCTAAGAGTTATAAAGGCCTTAAGAAAATGTTTCACGGCACTGGGAATTTGACTACAGAAAATCAGATCGATAGAAAGTAATTTTTTTTTTTTGGTACCAGGGATCAAACTCGGGCCCTTGTGCTTGCGAGGCAGGCGCCGGAACCACCGAGCTAAATCCCGGCCCAATAGAAAGTAATTTTGATTGAACTATCAAGAACAGGCTACAGAGGAGTAAATTCCCCGAGCCTGGAAACGGGCACCACGCCCCCAAATGCTTCACAAGTCTCACGAGTTAGGTTTCCTGCTCATCCCAAAGTGTCGCCTAAGAGATGAATCCAGTATAAATCTGCTTTGGAGAATTTTATTCACGGATGTTCTAGACTAGAGGGTTCAAGATTTATAAAGAATATGAAACTATTTTCATCAAGTTTAAAGCCAAGTGATGAGTTATTATGAACTCACAGCACATAATTCTTGACCTACTGAGAAAATTAATGACATCATGACCAGTTTATGTTCTTAACTTTTTCTCTTAGCTACCGCTACTCAGTATTAAAATAGTGAAAATTTCATCTCATTCTTCAGCTGGCACATATAATTACTTAGAAAATTTCTTCAATTATCGCATAGCTGAGGAATTTTAGAATCCTATAAAGAACTATTCCATTTAGTTTTTGGGTAACTCTCAGGAGGCAATTCCTTACATTTTTGTAAGTAAAACTGACTATGGATGAAACTAAACACCATGTCAAACATTTCCTACTCCGTCATGGAAATAACTAATCTGTTACAATCTTGCTAAATGATGGTGTTTATATTCAATTTTCTACCAGTGTTTTTATGTGAATTTCTAGGTTATGTTCCACTATAACAGTGAATCACAATTATCAGAAACTCTCAGTAAGTAAAGAAACTCATTAAGTGACTACATTTTTAAGAATTCTTTAATCTGCTTCTCTAATTTGGAACATTTAGGAAAAAATGGGGGAGGGACAGCTTGTATAAAAATTGTATTTATAACATCAAATTTCATGTATACTTATTTTATAATAGCATTTACCAAAAATAACCTTATTTAAGCAAGAGGAACAGCTGGCTACTTAACATATATATATGTGTATTCATGTATTAAAACTATACTATTGATGAGTACATTTCTTCATGTATTGAAGGGTAAGAAGGCTCTGAGAAAAACCTGAAGATCACTCCTATATAACTGACTTCACACTTGGTCCTGGCTTCCCAATCATCTTACTCAGGTTCTAACCCACAACTACAAAAAAAATTGAGTAATTGTACCATTCTGTCCAGGGAATTAGTGCTAGTAATTACTGGCTCTCACCTACAGTTGTGGTAGCCAAGTTACTGCAGCTGGAAGAAGGGACAGGCAAACAAGCCACATCAGCTAGAAATGGAGGTTAAACTCTTGAAAAGAAACTAAAGAACAATTTCTTTAATTTGAAAAAATCAAAACTACAAAGAAAAATATACCTACTGCCCCAAACAATCCTTCTCATGACTAGAAGGGTTAACAATTATATCTTAATTTTATATTCTCCAAGATAAATATACCTAGCTCCTTCATCTATTAACAGATCGTGAATTTACTCTTGTAAAGTTATTTTGGTCAAGTGACCCATTCTGCCCAGCTATTACTTACTGTCAGGAACTGTTCTAAGTATTTTACATGAATGAACTCACTCATAACAGCCCCCACCCCAGGCAGGCAGGATGCTGTTATAAATAGGAAGAAGCTAAGTCCAAGTGAAGTAAGTTAAACTATCCAAGATTACACAGACAGAAAACACAAACTGGCTTCAGTGTCTGTGGTATCAACTAATATTGACTACTGCTAAACTGCTACAAAAGTGAAACAAGATTTGTTACCAGATATTCATTTTAAAGTCAACAATATCAGTTATGCTTGTAGGGTAAATACTGCAACTAACTTAGCCAACTGTTCTATAATATGTTTTAAAAAGAATAAAAAGCAATCCTAGGTACTGAGATGCCACACGTCCTTTAATCTGCCAATAATATTTGATAAATATTTAGAGAAGGCAGAGCCCTGTACTACCATCATTTAATTTCCGTATTTCCCAGGGAGATAATACACTCAGAATATAGCTGACTTACATGTATTTAAAAAACAGCTCAAAAACATTTCCCCTTACTTTTTAGCTCTCTTCTCTTTGCCAAGTTCTCTCCTAAATGACTCTGATGTCTACTAAAATTATTTAAATTCTTACTTTTTCCTACTTCCTTATTCCACAAATATACCCAATTATGGGACTCCTGCTTCCTCTCTCAACCAAAGATCTCAAATAAGCAAAGGTGTTTTTCCTCTCTGAATCAAACTGTTTCTCTTCCTGACCTCAATACAGTTTGAAGTCTTGACTTCATGGTCTCTCATTTCCCTCCACTCATCCTCTGTCAGAAGCTCACACATTAGAGGCCGTCCCCCTGTAGGAAGTGTGCACTGTGGCCCCAAATGGCAGGCTACTGAAGAGTGCTTACATAATTTTAAAAAAGTAGCTTTGGCCACAAGATGTAACTCTTGCCTGAAATCAAATACTTCTGTGTCTTCTGTGTTATGAAACACTTTTCAACCTACCATCGAGATAAGGACTTCTGGGAACTGACAAAATCATCACATTAACCATTAGTATAGCCAAAAATCTAAGTTGCAGAGGCAGTGTGACTAATTAAGCTTTTGCTTACACATAACTGACATTTTACAGTGATCGTCCTAGCTTTCTATCCATTCAGCAACCTAGGAACATCTGTAAACAGTCTAAAACATTATCTCATAAAGTACTTTCCTTCAAATGGACTTTAACAGACTATGTGAACTACATGTGCTTTTTCAGAAGTTAAAATAGATACATAAATGCTCTTTACTTACCATGCAGAATGTTTAAGAGGAAATCAATACATAAATAATTTATTGTTACCTAAGCCTGTCATTATTTTATAAGCTAAGTCAAAGGAATAATAAAAGTGAGCTATGTTTAGTTTTATAATTCCAATTTCAACAGTATCATTTTAGTGGTATATAATATTTAGAGTCAGAGCCCAGCTACAAAAAGAGTCTCTCAATGAAATTGCTTGTCAGTCTAGGCTGACCTTGAGCTAGGCTCACCTTCATCTAGGACAGTGATGGCAAACCTTTTAGAGCTTTCAAAGATAACAAGAGCTGCCTGTGGCATGTGTGCCACAGGTTCGCCACCACTGGTCCTATGCTGTCTTGTGGTAGACAACTCAATATGTAAGAGTCAAGTGTTGAAAACACTATCAATCACCTCTCCCCTAACACTCTGCTTCTTCTGTATTTTTTTTTCTCATTCCAAAATTCTATCTATTCTGATAATCTCCCAGGTAGCATAGGCCTTATTCTTACCTTTCTGTCACTACAGTCATCTTCACATGGAGTTAGTCCTCATGGTCTAGTTTTGCATTGATTTTATTTTCAACCTTTGTTTCTCAACTTAATTGCCATATTATTTCAACAAAGTTTCATTGAGAGAGAAGAGTTAAGCCAATATCATATATTTTTAAAAATAAATGATTTCTATCTCTTATTTCCCCTTCCAAACTAACCTATGGTTTAAAAATACTTGTGTGAAAAATATTTTAAACCTCTATCCTCATGCATACAATCGTGGAGGTGCCCAGTACTGTGACTCTCTCTATATATTAACACTTGACCAACAGAAAAAAAACTTTCATGGAAGTTTATTCTTCTCTTAACTAGTGAGCTTAACTATGGAAGCTGTGTAGTTAGAATAAATTAAACTGGTACGATTATTATATTTACAGAATTGCCAAGTATATTCTTTAGTTAAACATAAACATAAGTGCTTATACTAAGTAACAGGTTCTAGGTACTTTTCAAAGCTTATTTCATTTAATTCTCATACTAAATCTTGAGATTATATTTCCATTTGACAAGTGGAGAAACTAAGGTCACCTTTAGTTGACTAAGGTCATACCTTAAACTGAAAAGCTAACATTCAAACAAGGACTGCATCAAAATGTTTGATCACTGAATTAACTCATACTGTCACAAATATACTTCAACAGCAACTTTATCAGCCAGAATATACTCAGATTCCTAATTCTGCTCTCTGCAAAGGTACAGCCATGGCATTGTTGTAGTCATTGTTTGAGATAAGGTCTTGCTTTGTTGCTGAGACTGGTCTCACATTGATGGGCTCCAAGTAATCCTCCCATCTCAACCTCTCAAGTCGCTGGGACTACAGGGTTTTACTCCCATGCCTGACAATAGCTTTATTTTATTCGTATAAAGTGATTAAACCGTATCAGAGAAGGTTTAGAGAAATATGTATTTAGTTATTTTATTTATATAAATGAATAAGAAATACAAAATGTTTTTATAAGACTTACCATTTAACATCAACAGATTGTCAGTTCCTGGATGTGGGTAGCTCAATCGACCTTTAGAGAAATAGGAAATAGGAATTTGAGGATTAAAGAGCTATTTGAAAAGCCAAAAAAAAGTGTAGGTGTGGCTGGGGAGGGTAAGGAACAAATAATATTGAGCACAGTATTTAATACAGGAAAACTGAATGTTTAGGTATATTTTCTAAATTATTTTGAACGGAAACAAAATGAAAAAACAGCTTTAGTTCCTAGATTACAAGATCAAAATGTGACCTAAGAGCAATGGCAATAAAATAAAGTTTGATCTTTAAAATTAACAACAATGCAGGTACCCATGAAAACTTAATACGAGATAACTAACTTTTTAATCTTCTAAAAGTTTTTAATTTTCTCTATAGATCTGTCAAAAATGAAACTTGAAATGTGCATTCCTAAATTAACTAAAATATTAAAATAAGCAGGAAAAAACTCATCACAACTTAATGTGGTTTATATAGTTGTATTTAGATGAAGTTTAATGAAAACATCTTAGATGTATTACTACAAATACCACTGGAAATGTAGCTTCTGTAGGGTTTACAAATGATCAAAATATTTTTAAAAGGAACATTCAAGCTCATGAATATAGCAGCAAAATATTTCCCCAAGTCGTCTTCATTCAAGGATGGTGTATTTACTATATGCAAAAAAGGGCAAGAGTATTATACTATGGTGTGAAAAAAATGTCATGCACAGAATATACTGTGATTTATCCAGCATTTTTATACTACACTTGTTTGACTAAATACTGCCAGCAAGGATGATCATTATTTTGAACTCATTAAAACTTGGGATTTTTATCTAATCCATGAATATCTGATAGACTATTAAAAAGGCATGTTAAAATCCCTTTAGAAAACTGTTAAAAATTAAATGTCTAGGATTGCATTCTAGCCACTTTTAGCACTGTCCTTAACATGACACTATGACATATAACATACTGCCATCAGAAGGGGGACTGAGAAATATTTGAATCTAACATGATTAATTACCTTTACAACCTCAGCAAATACTTTAATAAGGACCCTTTAATATATCCAAATATCCTGCACAAGACAGAGACTGTCTGTTGGCTCTTGTCTTAGTTACAAGCTGCTAATCCACTAAGGCAAGAGAATCCAGTTTTGACTTAAAAAAATGAAAAAAAAATATGAAAGATATATAGATATATATGCACAGATATACTTCATCCAAGCTCTTAATTTATGGTGTATTTTTATTTCAGACTCAACAATTATACACTATACGTTACTGTTCCTCAAGAGGACAACTTATCACCTCTTATTTACTGGAGTGTCATGCAAGAAATCAGTAACTAGATGACCTGTTCAATAAAGCTGTCATACCCTAAAACACACAGTGAGAGCCACTGTCCTGATACCTTGGCATGAAGTGAGGATTAGAACATGTACAGGGCCCAGGAAACACGTGCCTCCTAACCTGGGTTTCAATAACACGGCATTATTTTGAAGTATAACAGCTTATTTTGGAAATATAACTATTTCTGAACATCTTCTTACAGATTTCTAAATTTAGAAAACAATTTAAGCCCATGAAAAAAATGTGCTGTTATTTCTGACTTGAGATTTGTAAGAAACTCCTATAAAAGTCTCAACATATATGGCTGTTTAGTGTAATAAATTAACGAAGTCTTTTATATCGACAGTGTGTAGAATATGGAGGATACAAACTTGAGTAAGACATTATCTCTTCTATGTCTGTCTGTAGAAGAGACAGACACAAATATAAACTTCAGTAAAATCTGTCAGGTCTGAAAAGTTATGTACAGTTTGTTATAAAACTAAACAAAGTACAAAGAAATATTTAACCAAACAAGACTTCCTGGAATAATAGAATAAAGCCTTTTTCTTGAGGCCTACTTATATCCTGAAAGACACTCAACTTTCGATTGACACATAATTATTCTCTAATAGGTTCACTGTTTAGTTAATTTATCCCAAGACAAAGGTAAGGAGATATTTTCACTGCTAACTGTCTTTTGACATCTTGGCTCTGAATGGACTTAAAAGGAGTAACAATGTATAAAGTTCAAAAGAAAAATACTAAATGTCCATGTTTTTAAATATATGGTCTAAAATACAGCTCATCACACAGAATCAACAGCCAATGTAACTATAAAATATGCCAAAACGAAGTAAGAAAATTTACTTATTTTTAATTATTCAATCACTTTTTCTTCACCACACTGACAATATTCATATAACTTTACTGTTAACTTTTAAATTTATGTTTTACTTAGGATATAATTAAAACTACTTTCACTAGGAACCTGTCAACTGATAGCAATAACAACATTTGAGGGTTTACTATGTGTCAAGAGCTTTTCTAAATTCTTTACAGCTCATTATTTAATCCTGTTAATTATGTAATAATGTTACCCCAGGAAACCCATGAGTGTGGTGCTGGTGTCTTCCCATTCTAAGATGAGCAGACTGTGTCACAAAAAGCTACTTAACTTGTTCAAGGTTACATTTCTATCGGGTTGCACTGGCAGGCTTAGAACCGTAGTGGTTTGCTTACCGCTCTTAATTGCTACCTTAATATTGAATATAGTGATAACAGAATATAGGGAAAGGCATGGGTGATGGCCCACTGGACAAACTCATCTGTTTAAAAAAAATCACAGAATGATTATATAGTATGTTGGATACTTTAAACTTGAATATAGGAGAAAATAGACAAAAGCCACATTGTTACAAAGCTAATTTCTCCTTATTGTCTAAAAGGCTGGCAGTGCAGAGACTAACAGGTATACAATGGTATTTGTCCCTTCTTGTCAGTAACAAGACTCCTGACTACTGATGGGTACAGAGCTGCCAGGGTAAAAATTACATTTTTATTGTAGTTCAGTGTGACTATGTGTGTAAAGTCTGCTCAAAAGGATCCAAAGTGAAAGTAGCATGTGCAATTTCTGGAAAATATTCTTAAAAGGGAAGGCTTGCCTTTTCTTTATCCTGCTTTCTGGAATGCAGATATAATGGCTAAAGAACCAGCATTAGGCTTGGATTGGATTGTCTTAAGCAAGATAACTTAGATCTATGAAAGTCACCACACCACTCTGGAAATATTAATGCTTCTGTAAGAGAAATAAACTATCTCATTTAATCCATCTGAGGTTTGTTATCCCAGGAGACCCTAACCTTACAAATAAAGTTCTCCAGTGATAAAGTATAAGCTATAATAATTTCATAATGGTTTTAATATAGCTATAAATAATAAATATTCACTATTTCTTGGGACTACTACATTATTATTTAATTTAAAATAAAAATTTAAAATACGTATTTTTAGGTGTCAGTGAAAAAACTACAGAGAACCTACACAGTATCTTAGAAATTAGTCTATTATGATTTTAAATAGCAATTACATAATACATACATAAAAGACAGTTTACATTAGCCACTTTAAATCTGAGCAACTAATAATACTTAGAAATACGAGAACTCAATACAACTTATCACTTTTATAGAAAAATTATAAGATTATACATGGCACATAGAACAAATATCTAGTCCCTCATCATCTACCATTTTAACTACACTGGCCTCTCTTTGCTGTTTATCCAATCAGACACACTCCTATTTTAGAATATTTCTAGTTTTACTTTTTTCTGCTGGAAATGCATTTGCCCAGCCAGGAGTGACGCTGAGGCAAAAGGATCACAAATTTGAGGCCAGCCTGGGAAACTTAGTGAGGCCCCATTTGAAATTAAAGAATAATAATAATAAAAGGGGTTGGGTATGCTGGGTTCAATCCCCAGAGTAACACACACACGCGCGCGCGTGCACACGCACACATATGCACGCATGCACACACACAGGTATTATAAAGCTTGCACCCTTCAGTTATTTCAGATTTGTTTGAGATGGCATTACAGACCATCTTGCCCCAAATAGCAGCTTCTTCCTTTTTCTAACCCATAATATTACACGATTATTCCCTAACAATTTCTGATTACCTCTACTTTTAAAAACAGAAGATCCGTAAGGGCAAGGACTTTGCTCTTTTGTTCTGTACTATATTTCTACCATTTACAATAGTAACAGGCTCTCAAATATTTGTTGAATGGATAAATTAAATATCTTATTCTATTATGTAAATCACAGACTCAACTACATGTGCATGTATACAGGGCACAAGAAAGACAATTTCCAAGAAAACAGAACAATTACAGAAGAAGCCTTTATTTTAGTTCATTTTTCAAGTCTCTTTAGCATTTTGCAGGGGAGGGAGAAACTGCTAATGTTGTAAGATTTTACTCTTTGGCAAGATAAAATTTTCCCTTCTCTACAACTACTTTCTTTAATGAAAACTACTTCTCCCTTAACTCTGCTTTCATTTTCTGAAGTTTTAATTATTCATAGTTAACTGGGATCTGAAAATAGTAAATGAAAATTTCTAGAAATAAACAATTTATAAGTTTTAAATTGGGTGTTATTCTGAGTCAGGAAATTATAATACTGGCCTGGTTTATCCTGCTCAGGATATGGATCATCCCTTCGTCCAGTGTATCCAAGCTGTATATGCTACCCATCTATTGTACATATAATACGACTGTCATGGGATCTCACTGCTCATATACAGGAGCCCCTAGGGGGTCCTTAAATATATCCCTTATGTGTACACAAAAATAAACACCAAATCCCTAATATTCATAGTTAATTATCTCAACATATTCCTCAGTGGTAAGAAAATTGCTAAAAAAAAAAACCCCAATGCCATGGACTCTACCAACATTTTTAAAGAGAAAATTAAACATTTAAGTCACATAATCATAAAAGATCTAGGTTAGAAGTCACATTAATTAAAAAGAGGCAGTATGATGCAGTACATAAAAGTACAAACTTGACAGTAAACAAGTTTCACCACTTAGTAACAGCTGAAACTTGGATAACAATTGTTAATAAGTCATAGTTGCCCAACTGTAAAATATCTACATGTTAGTTATGATAATAAATGATATGTATATGATAAATTACATAGGTATATTAAAC